TTGGACACGTATTTTATAGAAGTCCTCGTGTTGGACTGTGATTTATAGAAGTCCTCGTGTTGGACTGTGATTTATAGAAGTCCTCGTGTTGGACTGTGATTTATAGAAGTCCTTGAGATTGGACTGTGAGGTGTTGGATACTTATCATTTCGGTCCATGTGTTGGACACGTATTTTATTCAGTCCATGTGTTGGACATGCATTCACATTTCAGTCCTCGTGTTGGACTATAATCCATTGAAGTCCTCGTGTTAGACTATAATCCACTAAAGTCCTCGTGTTGGACTATAATCTATTTCAGTCATCGTGTTAGACATTTACATATTTGACCACGTCTTGGACATTTGTTAAGCTATGAGTATGACACTTATCTGAATCAGGATATGACATGATTACATGAGATTTGGACATGATAGCTACCTAGACAGGATACGACACTTATGTGATATTGACCTTTGACACTTATATGGTTTCGGCGTGACTTTTGATTAAGTATTAAGATGGGCTATTTCTTTTAGTTTATTATTCATGTATTAGACTTCGGGTTTGGTAATTAGGGATTTATAATTTGAGATAAAAGGTATATACATGAGGGTTTCCTTGTTTGGATTATTTCGCTCGACGTACCTACGCTCGTGTTGTAAATTCCTAAATACCAAAACCCATTGTTGTTAGGACAAATGATTTTATATTATTATGTATTAATTGTATTTTCTGTATACAACGAGCCCTTTTCCCTTGGGGTTGGTTGTGATGTTGCTCGCTAGCGCTTTGACGCTCGTTGTCCCTCCCCCTTTCAGGTAACGAGCCAGGAGCCCGGAGAGTCGCAGGTTGAAGGCGACACTCAACTGACTATTTTTAGATATGCTTTATTTTGGAGCTCCACTGTAAACTGTGTTTAGACATTTGAGGACTTTATTCTAGATGTGTAAAGGCTGTGTGCCTTATTTCCTTTACTCAGACTTGTTGTATTTGAGATTTGTTAAGAAATCCAGTTTATTCATTTCAAACATTGACTTTGTATTCCTATATGTTGGATGATGAAATATTATTTTGATCTCTATCATTTCATCAGTTATCTCTTGTAGTATCTTTTACTTATTTTTGTACCTACACCTATTATTGACTCTACTAGAGTGATAGAATTGTGATGGTGAAACATGTTATTGCACGGTGTGGTGCATGGCAGGTTTGACATTCTTGGTTTCACCTTGGACTGCAGCCTTGTGTGAACCCAGGGGCGTCACAGTTGGTATCAGAGCTCTAGTTCCAGTATCCTTAGGATCATCCTGTGTCGAGTCGTGGAACTAGGATAGAGTTTCTTAGGATTCATGTATAGAGTCCGTAAGGAATTCCTAGTATGAGTGAGGACGATATATGCGTATATCTCAAAATTTGAGAATTTTTTTTTATGACAACTAATTTTGTATAAATTCAAACAGTTGTGCAAATACTATATGATGTGAAAATTGTGTCATGATACGCTATTTATAGACGTCTATTTTGGCTCACAACTCTTATTTTCTTATGATCAGAAAGATGACAGGACGTCGTAGGCCTGTAAATGATAAGTCTCGTAAATGGTCAAGTCTCAACTGAGTAAAGTTGTTCAACAATCTAATACAAAAAGATAAACATCTCAATATACTAAGTCAAATGAAAATACATAGGCTCTCAACTCTCAAAATGTAATGCAAATCTAATAATCCACTAAATATAAGACTAAACATCAGTGGATCAAAAGTAACTAATAAATGAAATGACATCGACTATACTGAAAGTCCGTCAACCTGTAGCTCTCCGAAACTTTGTTCCGCTGCCTAAAAAGAAGTTTAAAATAAAAAGAACAACAACAAGAGCGTCAGAACGCTATAGCAAGATCATCTCCATCCACACACGGGAGAAGGGCTACTAAGTATGATGGAGGCTCTACCTATAAGTACATAGTCTACCTAGATCATTTTCCACATATCTAATGGAATCAATATTTAGACACCTACAAAATGAGACGTAGTACGTCGAGCGAAATAATCTAAATAAAAAACCCTCATGTATATACCATATGTCTTAAATTGTTAGTACCTAAACATTAACACCAAACTAGAGATAAACAATCTAAAGAAAATTAATAATTAGAAACCCACAACACGAGACTGGTACGTCGAGCGAAATAATCCAAACAAGGAAACTCTCATGTATATACCATATGTCTCAATTTGTGAATCACTAAATATTAACTCCAAACCTAAGAATAAATGAATACAAGAAAGATAATACATGAAATACCATATCATACATCTCTAAAAATATCATATCAACTCCTCATACTATACTTAGTGGGTAAAACAGATATCGACACACTCTTGTATCTAAGTTGTGAAATACTTTCATAATGGATCATATCGATGATGTCAATATTCACCTACACTTAGGTTATTTATCGAATCGTCCTTCTTTAGAATACTTCAACTCATCACACCCCCGTGCGAATTGGTAAATAGATATGTCAGTTCATTGCATTCTCGTGCGGACCAATAACTAAGTATGTCAATTCATCACACTCCCATGCAGATCGGTAACTAAGTATAATAACTCATCGCATAACCATGCAGACCGATAGTTAGGTATATCAACCTCTGCGCATCTCCGTACAAACCGATAGATAGGTATTTCAACCTCTGCGCATCTCCATGCAGATCGATAGATAGGTATATCAACCTATGTGCATCTCCTATGGACCGATAAAGAAGTGTAGTCCATCTGCGGTCTCATTACAGGACCCGACTAAAGCACTTGGAGTATAGTCCATCTACGGTCTCATTGCGGGACCTGACTAACCCCACCTAACCGATCATAATTATAATATATATAATAATACCTGTTACTCTTAACTATTGTAACCTATTTGGGTACCCCAAACAATGTAATCATGCGTACTCAATCCCCGTACGTGTACTCCTTGAACTATGCATGAATATCAGCTCACGTCTTGCACAACAATGCTCACCAATGAACACACAAGCAAAAAGTTCAATCTCACAAACACCAAACTGATCAGTCGACCAACAACCTCATCGGTCGACTGATAGGCTCGTTCACAAAACAATAGGGTAAACATGATCCCGTTAGTCGACTGATGCTTTCCATCAGTCGACTGATGACCTCTCATCAGTCGACTAATGGTAACTTAAGTTGACTGAACAAGACGAAAATGCACAGTTTGTTCTTCTCTCGTGTTTTCTTCAAAAACTCAAGTTTTTATCAGATTATATGAATAAAACTTGATTCCATTGTTATGTATACTTAATCAGGAGTTTGTTTAAACAAGATGAATCACATGAACACATAGATCTAGGGTTTAACATGCAAATCAACCTAATTTTTGTTTATTTCGACAATCTAAAGCATATAAATCATATTAAACTATAGTTAACTCATTAAAAAATCCTTAATGATCATGATCATGTTAATATACTAGTTTTAGATTTGTTCTACTATTCTTGATATGAGTTTAGGGCATGAACATCATAAATTAAGTTCTAACACTTTAGATCTTACCCTAAATATGAAATTAGACACATATATTACATAAAAACATGATTTTTAATCTAGGGATGTTGGATTATTTTGTTTTGATGATGATTTACAAACAATTTACATCTAATATTGTTTGTCTAGTGTTTGTATTTTGTATCTATTCTAGGTAAACAATATATTGGTGGATGGATGGAATTACGCTTTCATGATCATATCCAATAGAGGTTAGCAGAATAGTGGAGTAAAGCAATGCAATTCATGTTGAAAATCCAAGTTTAAGTTTCATCTACAAGTTTACCAGGTCAAGCTATGTTGAAGACCTTCAATGTTGGGTATATAGTTTATAGTGTTTGTAGTATAAGTTTATACTTATGTGTTAATACTTTATGCTCATATTAATCACACACACACACACACACGTATTTGTTGATTTTATCAAAATATAGGTGTTTTTGTGAAAATATTATTTTATTAGTTTATAGACTTCAATATTAGTTTATACATATTTTATTAAGTCTATAAAATCAGTTTACAAAGTTTCAAAAGTTTGTTTAAATCAATATGTCAAAAACATGTATGTTTAGTTTCATGTTTTTGGACATTTTTGTAAAATGATGATATTTTACAAATGGGAGGTGATTTTTGAAAACCAATTTTTATAATATGTGTATTATCATGTCTACAATCATTTCCCAAAGTTTTACATTTTTTAAATTTGTTTGCTATTTTTAAAAGTAGTTTAAAAATTAGATTTCTGCTTTAAACATGTTGTATACTTGTTATCAGTCGACTGGTCAGTCGACTGATGCAATCAGTCGACCGATTAGTCTACTGATGAAAGTGCCTCCAGTCCCCAAAAGTTTTTGTTTTGTTTTAGTCGACTGACTAGTCGACTGATGAGGTCATCAGTCGACCGACGAGCTGGATGTTGACTCTAACGGTCAGCTCATCAGTCGACTGATCAGTCGACCGATGGCCCAACGACTAGTTTTTTCCAGCTTTTCTATTTTTGTCTTTTTGCTGGGGGTTTTTTTTCTCTTGGCTTTGGGTTTCCTATAAATACCCCCACATATCCTCAATTCACAACTAAGAAGAGAAAAGTTTTAAAAGAGTTTTACAAGTTTGTTTAAGGGTTTAAGTTTTTGTTTGAGTGTGTTTAAAAGTTTGGATTGTGAAGAAACTTTTACAAGAGCTTGAGGAGATCATCCATTGGTGTTTGGGCATTCAACTCTTCTCTCTCTCTCTCTCTTGTTATCATAGAGAAGTTTTCTAAACTCTATTTCTAGCTATTTATTATTTTGTTCATAATTTGCATAAGCTCGATTTAAATTGAGTTTAGTTTGATTTTGTTTTATTAAATCTCATTGTTACATACACCCACTTGAGCTTTTAGTATTTTCATACATAGTATAATTTGGGGTGTGAGAGATTGTAATCTTGAGTTGGCCATTTGAGATGTGGAGAATGGATATTGTTGGACCAATCACTCTGCCAACGGTCAAAGGACATCGGTTCATCTTGGCAGTGACTGATTACTTTTCCAAGTGGGCAGAGGCAATTTCACTGAAAGAAGTCAAAGATTCAAATGTGATCAAGTTCATCAAATATCACCTCATCTACCATCTTGGTATACCAAGACGAATAGTCCATGACAACAGAACCCAGTTCGTCAGTGGTTTTCAGAGGTTCTATGATAGGTTCAGGATCCAAAGTGTCACATCGATGGCATACTATCCTCCAGCCAATGAACTTGCAGAAGCGTTCAACAAGACTATTGTAAAGCTTCTTAAGAAGTTTGTATCCAAGAGTTGTCGCGACTGAGATGAAAAACTTAGCGAATGTTTGTGGGTCTACCGCACAACAGTGAAGACTCCTACAAAAACCACCCCATTCTCTTTGATATATGGCTGCGAAGCCGTATTACCGTTAGAAATCCAGATCCCATCTCTGAGAGTCGCCCTTGCGATCAGAATGACGGATGAAGAACAACAACAATTGCGTCTTCAAGAACTTGAAGTATTGGACGATAGGCGACTTTAAGCTCAGCAACAGATTGAGTTGTATCAAGCTCGAGTCTCCAAAGCCTATAACAAGAAGGTCAAAGAGCGAATCTTTAAGAAAGGTGATTTGGTCCTAGCTATAGACGACCCATGGTGATGACACATAAGACTAAGGAGAAGTTCAATCCCAAATGGGAAGGACCCTTCGTAATAGAATCAGTCTATTCGAATGAGGCATACCATCTCATCAACCAGAAAGGTAACATACTCATGATGCCTATTAACGAAAAATTTCTCAAGAAATATTACCCGTAAGCCATGAAGTCCTCTTCTCCTAATCCCCAGCCAAGTCTGAAATAATGGATCAATTTTCCCTAGGCTGGGGGTTGGTTATTCGTGTTTCATTGAATGGAGAGTAATAAACCATGTTAAACCTTCCCCAGCTTGTATGTTATCAAGTTAACATTACACCTCTAATGATTAAAATTTTCTAGATTTATTCTAGGTGATTATAAAGAGAATTTTTGATTCATGCTAAGTTAACATTACACCTATGGTATTTTTTATATTTTTATTGTTTTAAATCAAAACATAACAAGGAAAAGGCAATGAAAAGCATTATGATATCACTTTCATTCAACATTGTTAATCTGATACAAAGTGACAATACTTGGCATGAAAATGATACAAAACAAAAAAAATTCCTATCTCCAGCTAAAAGCAATATAAGATTCAAGCGCCAGGGATCATCAATTTGAGGGATCTGAGCTTGGACTTAAGCGCAGATAGCTTCTTCTCACGGGCCACTCGAACTTGTTTATCCACTTCGTTCTTGAGTTATTCACCAGTAGGACCAGTGGTGGAAGTGATTAGTTCAACCTGGAGTGATCATGCTACTTCTACAAAATCGCGATTTGGGTCTCTGTTTCAGATAAGCTCTTGAGAAGGGCTTCTCGATGATGCACTTTTGAGATGCGAGCCATAGAAAGAGCTAGCTCTACATCAGATTACAAATCGGTGTGTTGTAAATCTACAAAGGCCCTTAATTTTGCTTCCAAGAGGATAATGCTCTCTCTACAATGTTCAATCCATTGTACGTCGCCCAAGCTCTCGATGCTGTCTAGGCAGCTAGTCAGGAGAGGCTCGAAATCATCAAAAGCAACTTGTACAAGGCTAACGACATTGATTGTTAATTTTATCGAACTCTCTAGCTACTCAATGAGTTTCCTTAGGATTTTTGAACTCGGAGGAGGGGCAATCAGGTAGATTAAACCTACAAATTTGGTGGGAGCAGATCCAAAAACAGCTTCAGAAGGAAATTTTTCTGGCGGATCCTACCTTGTGGTCATTCCATCAATAAGTCCCATCGAGGGGGCAGACTCTGAACCCCTAATACTCAACTTCCCTTCAGCTTCCATATCCTCAGGAATAGAAGGAGTTGATTGAAGCGCTTTATCTCCTTTATCATCTGGGAGCATGACGGGTGCAGACTTCATCGTGTCCTACATCAGCTTCACCTTCTTGGAGTTTTTGGCTACAATGGGCCTTCTTTTACGAACCCTCCTCTCATAGTCACCCTCCTCCTCAGCACTAAGAGCTTTCTTCCCCGACGATCTTAATGAGCGAGGTTCAAGGATGGGTACTTCCTCAAGGATTTCTTTAGTCGCCTTCTCTTCACAAGGCTCAGCAGTTGGTAGCTCTTCTTGGACCTCTCTAGCTTCGGCTGCCTCCCGTTCGTAGGATAAATATTCTTCTATCTCTGACAGACGAGTCCTTGTAAAACCTTGTTTGGACTCATAAAGTTCTCGAATTTTGTTAATGCTAGAAGTGTACATGTTATACTCCAAAATCTGAGAAGCCTCATAAAACCAGTCGTGAAAACCTAAAACAGCAAAGCAGCTGGGTAGCGAGTTGGGCGAGGTTAATTGAGCATGAGTCCCTCCAGCAGAGAAGAAATACCACGCACGAGCACTCTCGTACAAATTCTTGACTTGAGCCAACTCCGGATTAGGATTACTAACATAAAGTTGGTCATATATGTACTGCCTAGCAAATCGAGAAGGCATGTAAGGTTCGATGATGCACTTCTCCCTCAGGTGGAAGACCAAGTAACCAACTCTAATTGTGAGGAGCCATTTGAAGATGCTCTCCTCCAAGATGAGAATCCCTCAAAACCTACATCTGTAAAGCTTGTACTATCCTCTTCAGCCTCATCTAAATCAAGAGAGTAGCAGAAAATTTTATAATTGTCCCCTTGGGATAAGAGCTGTCGAGCCTGGACTATGTAAATGTTGGTCCATATGGTCGACTCGAGCCTCTGCACATATGGAACAGAAGTCTCGCTATCATTAGTGATCCTTGTCATCAATGAAGGGCAATGCAACACGAACCAGGCCACCAAGTATGTATACGGTACTCGTACACAAGGTTGGAGAGTTTTGTAAACTTTCTTCCCAGCAACATTTATCTCGTGGACGTCAATTAATTCAGAAGTCAACATCCATAGGCCACTCTGTATAAAGCCTACCATGGCAGTGAGCAGACTCACGGGCCTTACATGGGCTAATAAAACAGCTGGGTATACTACCTCAGATAAGATAGACTCTACTGGCTTCGATGGTACTACACAACGTTTCAGCCATATCATTAAGAAGCCAG